CCATGAGAGTCAAAGATTTTCACAAAGACATTGAGAACAAAGGCAGACAGTTATTTAAAGCCTGTCTGTTGAATTATGCCTCCTCTGGAGCATAAGAGAAGGAAAAATGTCCCTAACAACACTATTAATACGACTTATCTTAGTAGGGGTGCAGGCAACAGTGCTTGAGGAGAGGAACTACCTGCTGACTGCTTGTTAACCAGCCTGTCTGCTCATTTGTGCCTGCTCACAGTCCAGAGCTTATGTTCTTCTAATTGGTGGCTACGTAGGTTGAAATGAAGGGGAGAGAGGCTAAAGTTGGATAAGCTTTAACCTTTTAGCTAAAATCACTTCCATCACTTTAGCCTTCAAAGTGTTCAGGCAACAACAGAGCAAACTGCAGAATACTTAAAGGTTTGATTTTGTCTTGGCACTACAAATTGGAAGAATTTTCTTCATCTCTGTCCTGACTATGTCTACCAATTAATTCAATCTCTAAATGACAACCAGCGGAGGTTTTAAAAAAGCACATAAAACAGAGTCCAACACCAGCTCTCTCATGCTGCTGTACTACATCCTTCCCTGGGTATGATCTCTTTTTATCAGGGGATGGTGAACCCCAAACCTTTCACATGTGGCACTGAACCTCAGTCCTGAGCAGCACCGGGTGTGCTAAGGAAGCTGAACTGCTTTCACTCCGGAACATAACCAGAAATGGAGGAAAATCCTCTTCCTGCAGCCCACCATACACTGCAATAGCTAAAAGGCAGCAGCTTAGTCCTTGCCCTTTGTCCATGGAGCTTCCACTAAGAAATGATACAGAATTCTAGTTCTCCAAGCTTTCAGAAATTTCTGGGACATGATATGGTCTGCTTTTAAAGGGAACCTCTTTGTCATGGTTTAGAATAACTTCTTACTTTTTAAAATGTCCCGTAATTTTCTCACAAATCTCTCAGCTGACAAGTTGTGCCAAGAAGGTGCTTTCAAATAAGGTAGCCCTTATAGTAACATACTATCCCTTTTGAAGTCATAGTTTTTCTTGATGTTTATGCTTCTTAACAAAAAATTCCTCCCATTCCCCATTTTCACGGCATAGAAGCCATACAGGAAGAACGATTAAACTCTTCAAGTTTCAGTTACAAAGCTGATCATCAGCTTGATTAATAAACATTGTAAGTTTGTGGCAATGGCTTTAGGAAAGTTCTAATTCAGGCCCTGAGCAGGTGCTGAAATGCGGGTAACTCAGAGCATACTGGGGTTTATTCAGCAGTTCAGCTGTACGAGATCAACAAGATAAATGGGCAGAATAAACTATACAAGTGCAGAGCTACGTCATTTTTCTCTTACCATCCTGGTAGCTAGAAGTGTGACTACTGTTTGACAGGTTCCAGATTATGAACGTGTTAGATTTTTTCCACGCGGTAAATTCTTTATTTGTATTCAATAGCCCTGAAAGAAAATCACACGGATGGCAGTGCATGTTGAGCCACACAGTCCCACAGAATCACAGAAAGGTTGAGGTTGGAAGGGACCTCTAGAGATCACCTGGATCTACCCCCTGCTAAAGAAACCTTAATATATTATTTAAATACATTATTTAAGATGTTGAGAACCTGTAATTCACCATGGAGTTTCCATACATGTCTTTGTGAAATCTATTCATTGTGAAAATCTATTCAATTGAATGAATTTATCTATGTAAAAAAGAAGCGCCTTTTTATAGAGTCGTACAGAGAAACTCTCAGTATTTCAAGCACAGGTCTCCTAACAACTAATTATAGCATATGGTTTTTCTCTTTAAGAAAAAAAGAAAACAAAAACTCTGGAAGACTTCCTCTGTAAATTATTCATATATTTGTGGACTTGCGTTAGAAAACTGTCAAAACAAATTTCAAAAGCAACTATTTAATCCCAGGAGTTTAATTCCTGATCAAAATACTCTTCCTTGGAATGCTTATATTTATTACTATTATGTATGCACTTAATTTAATAGAACTTAATTAACCTCTTAAATGATATTTTGAGAGTTCATTGCTGAAGAAAGAAAGATCTCCATTACTGTATTTTTTTATGATGTTGAAAAGGAGAGTCTCTGGCAAGTGAAAGATTAGTTCCTCGTATGGTTCTATAAATATTCATTTTTATACCTCCTCCCTATCACTTGTACAGTCAGCAACCACATTGCAAAAGGGGAGTGTAAATTACTCACAAAGTTAAGCTTCCGAGAGGTTACTCACCAGTATTTTTCGTACGTGTGTGAACACAGCAGCAGGAAGGCCTGCTATTTAAAGCTTCTACCATCTCCAGGATCTAGCGAGATCTGAAGTATCATTCACAATTACTCTGCTATTACTGACTCTCACATTGTAGCTCTGGTTTTGCCAGCTCTTGGTATATTGCTATATTGCCTTGTCTGGAGCTACGTCTCTCCTAGCCTGTGCACTCGGCAGGAGCTGATCCTGCGGCAGCGGCTGCCGCTCTCAGAGCGGAGCTCACGCCGTGCAGACTCGGGTCCAGCCCAGGACGTGGCATCGTCCCCAGCGCCACCCGCTCCGCCTGCCCGCTGCACGAGCTGAATAACCCCAGTGAAGGCAGCTGCCCAGGTGACTAAGCAGCTGGGAACCACCCTCCCTCACGGACTGGCAGCACACCACCTATTTCTCATGCTCATTCTCATAACAGAAAGTTCACTGGAGACTGTGGATAGTTTCACAGTAGTTCAAATCAAATTCAAACCCAGCAGTATCCATGCTCACAGCACTACATATGGTGGGGGGGTGGGTGGGAATCATGCATTTAAATATTCTGAAATATTCTGAAAATATTCTGAAATTTGAAATGTATTGCTGTGGTTTTAAAGAAATGCTATACAATATTGCACGTGGCATATATTAGGAAAAAAAACCTTACAAGTACCACATTGTAAAGTCCTCTACAGATATGGATTTTCTTTTCTAAAAATATCACTATCTCTTTGAAATTCCTAAGGAATAAATAGTCCTTCGTACCTTCAGCTATACCACCATAAATTAACTAGCCATGGAAAAGCTTTCATAGGTTATGAGTCCTTACATGGCTAGATTAAAAATTGTTCTGATATTACTACACCTCAATGCACTGCAGAAGCTCACACCTTTCACATTTCCAATAATAAATATTTTGCTTATGCTACAATTATTTCATTAACAATAGGACAAATTTGGGAGATTTTCAGTTACTTGAAAGAACATAAAGAGACAGGGTAATGGTCTCTGCCTGCTCCACTCCAAGTGGGAGCTCTTCAGCCAAGAATATTGACCCCTGCAGCATAGAAAAGTAATTGCTCTGTCAAGGGAGAAATGAAACTTGTATATAGTAAAGTCTAAATAAATCAATGAGTTTGGAAGTTCTTGCAAATAAACCTTAAGGAAGTCATCATGTAAAATACATTCGCCACACTACTAGCCACAGATGCAAAGCAGTAACTAGTTTGGCTGCCCTGCACTCTTTCATGATTTACAGTCTGGTAATTTTCTTTCTTTTATTGCTATGTAAGAAAGAAGCATTTAATCTATCTGCTAACACAATTTCACTTGAGGTGAACTGCAGTTTTCCAACAGAAGGCAAGTTAGTCATGCATACAATTCATATTAGAGCTCATGGGAATTATTTTTGCATTTCACATAAAGTCTACAATTCTTATCTTCAGAAGACTTGTCTCATGGAATAAAAAATAAAACACATTCTAGAAAATACTGATGAGAGAAATACATATATTGGATTTGAACAGAGCTCTAAAGCTAAGGTTTATGTACAAACTTCATCTGAATTCAACAGAACATGTGATGCATGTCATAAAGGAACTAGTTAAGTAATAAGCAAGTGTGATCCATTTCTGCTCAACCTTCCAATTAAATAAACATAGTTCTCTTCTCTAAGTAACCTTGTGCTTCAAGGCCACAAAGATAATAACGTTTAAGAAATATTGTTATTTTATATAGCCTCTAGTCTATAGTATTTTAGCTACCACTAACAGCATAGTCTAGACAAATAATTTTGAAATATCTTGGCAAGTACTCACTTGATGGCAAAAAAGAAAGAGGTCACGAATATCTTTTTTCAAAATCATGAGAAAAGGGAAGCTTAGCCTCCAGCTAGAGCCAGAAAGTCATCCATTCCAGAGAACATCCTGGCCAACACGTCCACAACAGTCTGCAACCCACACTCGTGGGTCGTGGTTAGGGTCACCTGCGGTGGACTGGATGTGTCCGCATGCATAACATTTGGTCTCTAGATGCCACATGGCACCTCTACGACCTCAGGAAATTAATCTGTGTGTGTTCTTTAGTCCTCAGCGCTTGAAACAATAATCACAGTGCTGCAACAGTCGGCCACAGAGATGTTTTAATAACATGACCTTGACAGTATGTGTGTTTTATGTCAAGATGAAGGCCGTAAGAATATGACAGCATTCAAGGGGACACCACTACTTCTATAGCACTGGAGAAGCTGGTAGAACAGAGAGAATAAGACTCGATCTACTCACTCATCTTTTCATCTCAGGCACAGAAATTGGTCTATTCCAAAAGCCAGGAGGGAAGAACTAACATGGACACAGATACTATCAGAATACCAGGACTAATGAGTGAACTGGGGGGAGACAGAAGAAGAGGCTTTGGATGTCCACCGAAGATGCAACTGAAAGGTTCCTATAACCTCATGACTATACTCTAAAAAATCATTTTTTTCCACTTTTAAGAACATATACATTTTATTACCTACAATGAACACATTATGAATTTTCCTTACCATGTTTTTAACTATAAAAACAAGCAATATGAAATTTAAGTTTTAAAGAAAAATAATCACTTTCACTTGCATTTACTCTCTTTGTAATCTGAGAAAACTGTGTGAGAACTGTCTCCTCATAGAGCTCTCCTTCTCATGGCAAATACATGGAGTGCCTGAAACATGCTATGATGATCAAGTACCAAAATATCTTCCATATTTCCTGAACATCATATGACAGTAGAATCACTCACTGCGGTCAGTAATTATTGTTCTGGTCTCTTGATTGCTGGTCTTGTTTTTTAAATTTTGGGCTGCAGTTATGAGTTCATCCAGCTGGGGACGTCTTTGCTCCAGATCCTGTAGTATTGCCTGGTTACACACATATAAAACAAAAAAAGAGACAAAAAACACTATGTAGAGCTGTTGAGAAGACCATGTATAGGGCATTTTATCTTTTGCAGTTCGATTTGAAAAAAAAGATTATTCACTGCTTCAAATAATATGAAGAACTTGGCTTAAGCCTTCAAAACACTGTCATTAGTCTTTATATAAAAATCAAGCATAACTTGAAATAATCACCAAAAAAACCCCAGAAAGCTAAAAGCAAAATAATATTTTCTCTCATTTTTCAGGCAAGAATAAGTTACTTCCCTCTACAAAATTATGAAAGGAACACTATTCTCATATATTCTTAGATTTTACAGTGTATAAAGATTTAGCTTACATTCTTACCATATTACAAGAGACTTTTTCTAATAACTCCTGAAGTCTAACCAATAATATAATCTTCATTTCTTAATGTTTAAAGACGTTTTAATTATTTTTTATTGGTTTAAAGTCAACATAAGACTAGATAGATTAGATTTAATGAAAAAGAACCCAAGGAAAGTATGGCATATAAGACGCACGCAAATAAATCTATTAGTTTAATTTATATTGAAGGATTAGGGAAAAGCAAACAAGGAATCAGTTCAATGGTTTCCCAGATAAGAATCATCCAAGCATGTATTTAAAAGGCATGGAACAAATCTAGCAACTTCATATCCCTGTCCTTCAGTTTCCAGAGAAAAAGATACTAATTAGTTTTTTCCTGACTTAGAAGTTGGATATATACTAAGTTATTAGAAAGCAATTTCTCCTGCCCATAATTTTGAGTCAGAACAGGATGTTGCCAGACAGTTAATAGCTACAGCATAGCTGCTAAATTAACTATCAGGAAAGGCCAGTACAGAACATTTTTTCTCAGGGTCCTCATGTGGACAGTGGGTAGAAAACCAGCAATATGCTCACATGTTGATAGACTATGAATGTGAAGTGTTTTTTTGGTCTAAAAGTTATTTTTTGTTTGCTTGTTTTTTTCCTTCAAATGCTTTTATTCCAAGTAATCCTACATTATTTTAGAAAGGTGTTATTCACTGACCGCTCTGCACCAGAAAGACCTGTAGGATCGGATCTTGAATGTGCCCATCTGACCTGGGACTAAAGAGTCACGTAGCTTCAGCAAACTGAAGGGAGCAGGGAAAGGCCTAAGATTGTTTTCTGTCGAATAAGGCTAACAAGGAGCAGGAGTGCAGCATCACCTCCTCCAGCAGCCACAGCGCGCTCATCCAAAGCAGCCTCCCCAGGATTTCTGTCTTGTCAGGACAGGACGGCAGGTAACGCTCAACACACGCAGAGCTACAAGCCTCTGAAATTCTCGCCTTTGAACTTCTCTATCAGAAGATCTTTCACACCCTGTTAAACCTGACGTCCTAAACCTGCGCCCAAAAGTGTTTTAACTAACGCAGTAATTGGGCTGCATACAGACACATGCAGTTAAATCACCAGCTTTGATGATCGGGGAGGAACAAACTTCTAAGAAGTGTCTGCTCAGTGAAAGCAGCAAGTGTGTTTTCAGAAAGTCTAAAAAGACATTTTGAAGTCTTTGTAGCAGTATATATTCCTTTCAACCATACACAACCATACAAGCTGACTTCATATGTAATGAAAATGCAAATTATTAAATGAAAAGAGGAATGCTTTAATGAACACAGGTTTAAAAACCACAAAATATTAGTCTGAGAAAAAATATTAAATAGTTGGGAGTATTTGGCGAAAATCATCTCGACTTCAGAAAATGAATCAGAGGCAATACATATATTGAGAGACTCATATAAAAAAACTACCACAGCATTCAAATATTTATTGTTATAAAACTGGATCCTTAAGTAGAAATTCAACAACAACTCTTAGCAGACACTGCTGCAACAGCCACGGGAAGGAAAACTCATTGCTAGCGGCACCCTGGTGGAGACGCAGCAGCTGCACCAGAGCAGATGCCTCTGAGTCGGAGAGCCTGCACACTACAGCAAAACCTATGGGTTGTTTAAAATTGGATAATACCAAAATAAGACTTCTTATGAAAGGATTTTCAAGAGAAGTTAAACAGAAATCTATCATCTAGTCCACCTCAACACACAGAACACATAGCTACAAAGACTAAGGGATTCACAGACACTAAGAGGATTTTTTGTTCTATAAACTTCTATGCTCTTGTCATATAATCTGCCTTTCTTTTCCCTTATCTATTATCATGCAAAACTACCAGAATGCGTACGTCCAAATATTTTAATCTATAAATTGCCATTAAATAATAAAGGTGGTTTAACACGACTAGATCAACAAGTATGTAGTTGTTAATCCAAGGTCACAGAAATACACCTTTAACCCCCGCAAGAGGAATATTTTTCTTCTAGATACTTATTAATGCCAACTTGATAGTAGTTGGTGACATCATCACAATGGAAAGGTGAGATTCAGTAATCAAACCTGTCTTTATTTTTTTAGAAAGTGGTGTTTAGTCACCTCCAACAATCTCTCCACATCTGTGGCCACATCAGCTGCTCCAAAAAAATAATTTTTTTAAAATGTAATTTTCAGGTTCCTAACTTTTATGGCTTATTTACACAAAGGAGGTTGAAATAAGGAACAAATTGTTTAAGTCAGCAACTGAAATAACCTGTATAAGAACTGATAAAAAAAGAAAGTGGAAAAAAAATGAAACAAGTAAAATGTGAGAAATACTTGGTGGGCTGTAGGGACTGAGCAAATTAGAATATTCACTGGTTTCATAGCGGGGAGCCTGCTGCAAATGGGATGGTGGCTGCTCCAGCCAAGTGAGCTGCAGCTGATACAGAATAATCACATGGCCTCTAAAATCTCTACTTTTTTATATATACAGTTTTATCTTGACTTGATAGCAAAAAATATTAAATTGGAATGTCTGAAATTCCATGATGATATCAAACCTTAAACATTCAACTAATCATTTGCTGAAGCTGATTAGGGGGTGCTAGGTATTTAGTATCATAAACATCTTTCCTCACACCACAAACATGACTTTGCTGCAAGTCAAATGTAAACAAGACCTAAAGCTAATTTCTATGACAAACTTTATGGCTGTGCCTGGATCTACGTGTTTCTTCAGGGAGATTCTGGGCCTGTTTAATTCCTGTGTTACATAAGTTTAAGTTGAAAAAAAAATTTGTCTGAAAACAACAGACTCAAAATACCATAAAAAATGAAATATTGTTGGCTAAAGTAAGCCTTCCATTTTCTTTCCAGTATGTATCTCATTGGTCCTCCTAAACAATAGTAAAGATCATGTCATTGCAGTTTTCCAAAATATTGACCTGCCACCACAGTAACCTGGAAGCTATTTTATTTTCTGCCTTTAAAAAAAAAAAAAAAAAAAAAAAAAGGAGACGTCAGAAATCTACCTGATCATTGAGTCAAAAGACGATGCATGAGCAAAAAGGAAATTTGTAACAGACTTTCTGGATTAACAGCAAGCCGGAAGCACAATATTGCTGCAATCGACACACAGTTAAAGACTGAATCTTCCCAACTGGGGTTTATTTTGACTCACCACCAATACTGTATAAGTGCACCACAAACGACTCAGTGGGCCACAGGAGCAATTCCTGAATGGAATAATTAATATCGGAGGGGGAGCAAGACAGACACATTTTTCATCTTATTTACTGCTTCCAGCTTGCAATTCCATCAAACAGTTTTTGAGAAAATGGATTGCTTGATTTTTCAAAGACCTTAGACTCTACATCTCAAATCTAAACACAATCTGAGCAACTGATTACTTTCTTAGCAAACTTTATAGCCAGGACAACTTTTACTTAATTAAGACTGTTTCCAAGCTGGATGGTTCTCTAAATATAATGTGTTATATACATACCTAGAAAGAGAGCAAGCTTTGGAGAAGAGCTTGCTTACCATTTCAGAAAATGTAAACTTGTAACACCTACAATTCATCTTCATAATAAAATTGGCTTTGTTAAGTTATTCCACCCAAGCACAATCTGAAATTTGTTTCTTGTCAGCAAGCAGGAACAGAATATGAGAGAAAATGATAGCTTACACAATCCCTACACTTAAAGACAGAATTATGAAACAGCAAAAGTAAATAATTTGATCTGGCCCTATTTAAGAGAAATTCAGTTTCAGCTATTAAATTGTTTTGCATCTTCCCCACAAAGCACGAGGAAAATAGGAAGAACTAGAATTACTGTTTGGCAGCACTGCTAGCTGATTGGCACCTGTCAGGAAAATCGAAATGTTAACAGAAGGAACAGTGTGGCCTGAGTAATTTATGAAGTTTAAGTTTTCAAGGGGAAACATTTTTATATACACTTAGTGTCTGCTCAAAAATTGCCCAAGTGGCCTTCACTCACCGGTGGCTTAGGGAATAAATCAGGGATGCTGTGGAAAGTCACACGTGGCAGGTTATCAGGTGCCTCACTGAGCTCATGAAAATGAATCATGGAACTTCTTGTATCCTTTTTGTGCCAGTCACTCTACAAATAATATCGGTGGTATGAAAAAGGTCTGGTGTGCTGAACAACTGTGCAATTTTGGTGAGTACTTGGAAGTTACGACTGCAAAATGCTGTAGCGCAACCTGCTGTGACTGCACACTAAGCAAACCGAAGAGAACTAATTAGGAGAGTAATTAACTTGGATCTCTGGGCTTTGACCAACAGTGTGAGGTGATGGCTGAAGTTAGGAGAGGTCTCCCCTTCTCCCTCCCTGTGCTGCTCCCCTGCTGTCTGTAGAGAAGGACTTGGAGAACAACCAGCATGCAGGAAAACCAGCGGCACCGTCTAGGGAGCAGACAGGACTTTGGCTGAGAGCCCTCAAAGGTTCTCCTGAACCACATCAAAGCAAGATCCCTACGGAAAGGGGACTCGATACAAGGAGAAGAGAAAAAAATGGCTTACAAATCTGAGCTCACAGGGATCCTTTCGTTGTCCGTCTGGAGCCGACATCCTGCTCCAGAAGGGCATGGGGCAGGACCTTGTACTCATACACAAACAG